TCCAGTACTGCACATTGTCTTTCAATTGTTCCACTCTTTCGTTGGCTTGTTGTAATAACTTGACCAATTCGCTCAAGGTGTCTTTGGGTTTGGGGACGAGGTCGTAACCTTGCAGTGGATAACCGTGGGCATCTCGGGTGTTTAACATAGACATGCTTGGAACACGTCGTTCAAACCTTGCCAGAATCCGCTACCTTTTTGTTCTTGGAGATGTTCTCTTCGCCTCTTGACCGAGTTTCTGCGTTTCTCCACCTCGCGTAGCGTTGTCTTATAGCGATGCAGTTTCACCATGGTGATTGGGTGAACGGGAATTCTGTTTCGTAATAGATTGAGAACCATTTCACTCACGGCATTGATTTGATCTGCATTAGCATGTACTGACATCTCCTGTCTCCTGTTCCGATTGGCCTCTTTGAGAATAGCCTCCAAGAAAGGGCGTTTTCTGCGTAATCGAATCATACTTCCGACTTTCCGAGCTTGTACCCGATCTTGGCTGCATTCTTGAGAACAGTGAACAGTACACCTCCACGTTGTCTCTTGTTATAGTGATTCACATTGTCTCTGATTATTTTGCTGCCTGACCTGCTAATTTCAAAACCAGCGTAGCAAAGGTAGGTGAGGGTCCCGATAAGAACATACTGGCTCCTTCGGCGATCTTGTCTACCAATCGATGTTTACGTCGTGCCAGTGTTCCACCTCGCTGTTTACTTCTTTTCTTGGTCTTTGGTTTATTTTTCATCGTCGACGTTTACGCGAAGCAGCTTCCAAACCCTTTTTCACACTGTAAGCGCTGCACCTGGGATTCCTCCTAGAGCCGCCGCCTTGCCTGCTGCTACTAAAGCTGGAATGAGAGCTGCCAATGGTAACAATCCCCCCTTTTGTGCCTTCCCTCGTCTCCTTGGTTTTCTCAATTCGATCAAAGCTTTGTCGTAAGTTGTGTAGGCAAAGCGACGCATGTCGATTTTGAACGAAAACGTTTTGAAGTCGTTCCACCCCTTAATCACAGTTCCAGCGGCAATCAGGAGACTGTTTTCCAAGACGGATCCTGCGACGATGCCTGCTACCACGATGATCAATGCCAAAGCGTTCAAACAACCGTGGCACCACTTAAAGTGGTAAAACATCTGGCGATGACACCACCACTGACGGATGTAAAAGGGAAACAACCCATCCAATCGGTACAGCAAATCTTTGTTTACCAACTGGGCGCTTTTCTTGGATCCGTTCATTAGAGATACGGTAGTGATTGAATCTTGGGAAGAACTCATCACGATGTCTCGATTAATTTGTGACATCCAATACATCCTTCGTCCTTTCAAAGGTGGCTGAGAATCCTTTGATCGTCCAAACTGCCAGGATGTAGATCCAAGACCATGTACCCAAACGGACGTTCTGTCAAACTTTGAAACGTGTCTTGTAAAACTTGCCACTGGGTGGGAAACGCCTGTAGCAGTAAATTTCTCATGCCTAATTGATCTCGTGGATTCTTGAATGCAACGATGTAGTGGACGTTTCTGGAAATACCCTTGGCATATTTCCCTGGCGGAAACATGTCTTGGCACAAGTAGAACACTGTGACGTTCTGATGGTGAGAATGTTTGGTGAACAGATCCAACACCCGTTTACCGTTTCCTCCTTTAGCCATTAGATTGTCTAACACGAGTAATCTACCTTTAGGAAAGCACGTTTTCAATTGATCTGTGTCGGGAACGCCTTCGTGAAACTTGATCCCCTGTTCTTTCATGGGTTGAAACCCGTCTTGCCACCCCCTGTAGCAATAACGTATTTGGGAGGGTGGGGTATGAAACAAAGCGAGGTTGTTCAGTAAAAGTTTGGTGGTGAACCCCGTCTTGCCACACCCTGAAGAACCCACCACCAACAGACTGGAAGGGGTTTGAAATCGAAAAGACTCGCGTCGTTCCGTGAGTCCAAATGACCAAAGGGGCATGGGTATGCAGCTTTTGTTAACACATGAAAAAATTGACCCTGCGGGGAATCAAGTGACAGTCGAGGACACTAACCATTGTACTACAAGATCATCACAAAGAACACGTTTTCAATCGTATTGTAATGTCAAACCAACAATCATTACACTAAATGTCTCACACCGCAACGAGAAGTGTCTTGGTGATGTTTCACTTTATACACTTTATCCCATTCTAACTCTTTCTCGATCAACTTTTCTAACATCTGGCCTACTTTGTGATCATTGTCTACATAATCATGTTTCGAGAAACGCCTCAAGAAGTCGTTCATGCTTTGACCTCTCGCTCTGTCTTTTAAATAGAACAAGGCGTAATTGCCACAACGTTTACTGTAAATCGATTGCAGAGACTCTTCGTTGTAAATCACATATTTCCATTGACTTTTTAACCAGTCTTGCAGGGGCTCTTGTGTCTCGTAAGACTCCAAAAGTAGGGCGTAGCTGTCCATCACATCGCACACATTCCCACTACGGGTCCAAAGCGCCAGCCAGTGTCGGCCTGGTCTATCGTGTGGATCCGTGTTCATAATGTACCCACGAGGTTCTTTCTTGATCGGTCGACGTGGTAATCGATCGCAAGCCACCGTCCCGTAAAAGTAGGATTTCAAGATGGCATCCGCTGTCGCCAAATGATCCAGTTGTACGTTATTCAGGGGTACTTTCTCCATCAGCGTTGGTAAATGTCGTACAACACGGCTTTGTTCTTGTCTATTTCCAAGAGGTTCTCAAACTCTCCGTACAAGATGACCATGAAGTTGTTACCTGGTGGTACACCGAAGTTCATCACGATCTGTAACTCTCCTGACTGCTTGGTGTTCAACACCGCACTGTCTAAACATCCGTTGGCTGCATTGTCAAATACAAACAGTGTGCAATTCTTACCTTGACCCCAGTCTTCTCTTCTGACCATATTTCCTTGATGTTTGCACAAACATCCTGTAGCTTGTAAGAACCGATAGTAACCTCTCAGATCTCGGGTACCGTCGTTGTGCACTAGTTCCAGGGTCTCGTAAGGGTATTCTTCTCCTCTCACCAGTTGCCTGATGTTACTCACGCCAAACTTTTGAAAACAGAATGGGTCACCTGTCACATTACCATTGAAGGCCTCTGAAAGCACGAGTCCAACGATGACTGTTAGGAATTCGGCCTTGAAATAAATTGTTGCACTCGTATCTTTGCTGGTTCCCTGCATGTTGAAGGTCCTTTTTTTCCTTCTTATTGTCGGGTTAGCCACTATGGTTCTGTTGATGTTCATTTTCGTCATCAACTCTCGGTAGACGCTGGGGTTGAGCCTTACTTGACACAGGTACATTCTCACTTTGACCTCTTCGTGCGTCAGTCTGCCAGCTACATTCACACCATTCAAGAACAAATTGGGAGAC